GAAACAATAAAATTCCCGCGTTTTATCTGTGATTTCGATCGTCCCGGAACGGCTCGATAAACAATTGCATTTTCGGAGTATAATCACGAACTAACTCGAGCAGAACATTTTCGTCCGCATGTTGGGAGAGTACAAATTCTAGAAACCGCCCGGATACACGTTTCAAGGTTTAGCGATGATCATACGAGTGCGTGTCTCCTCCGCAGTCGGTTCTCGGAAGGCCTCCTTGGCCCCTTTGCCCCATTCGCATCGATGTCTCCGTCGGAAGAACACGGCCGTTAACCATTTCCCGAGGAAACTCCGTTGCAAACATAGCACACGCCATCTTTAATTCACTTGATTTATTCGTTCGTTTCGTTATCGATCGTATTTATCTTAATTCTACCAAGACAATAAAAGTTTAACACAAAATATTAGATACTAAGTGTTTTTGAAAACTCCAAACCTTTGGTGTGAAAGTATCGACTGAAATAAAAATCATTTCAAATTCATACAAACTTCGAACAACTGTTTGTAAAAATTTTAGTTCACACATTATATGTACAGCACACGCCTCCTTTAATTCGCTTAATATGTTCGTTTGCTTTGCTGTCGATTGCTAAATTCGGTATCCCAATTCTACTGAGCAATCAAATTTTAACACAAAAGTTGAACCTCAAACTCATAGAATTTCCTCATATACTATGAATTGAGTCTGGACTTTGCTGCAAATTAAAAATTCTCTGCCTTGCTCGAAAGATACAGAAAGACTGCGGATCTCTATGCAAAATAAAAATTTGCTAAGTCTATTGAAAGACAGAGAAATAAAATAAAAATTAACTTTTTTCTATAATCGNTTTGACACGAAAGGTCAACCGCGTAATCATTCAAAATCGCATAAGTGGGGCATTGAATCCTTCGAGAATTTCAGAGAATAAAACTGGATATTAAATTTATTTTTGAAATTGTTGAGATTATAAAGATGCTTATATAGGAAATCATGTAACAAAATAAAAGTAATATAATATCTAATTTTGATAATTTTAAAAATTAACAGACATCAGTGACTTTTAGTTTTTGATCGGTTTAATGCTAAAGTGACAGAGAATTGATTCCATTGTAATTTTTAATATTTAGTATATATGATATCAAGTAGATTACAGATCTTTATGCATTTATGATTTGTGCAGATTTTTAAAATGCAAGAAAACGTATAAATTAATAGGTTCGCATGGTAAAATGTAGAAAAAGAAAAAAGGGTTCAAATCTAAAGGAAGAGAAATAAATTGAAATGTAAAAAAGAAAAAGATCAATGTGTAGAAAAAGAAAAAGAAACTAAAGTGTAGAGGAAGACAAAGAAATGAAAATGTAGAAAAGAGAAACAAATTAAAATGTAGAAAACAATTGTAGCAACGTTTTTAAACTTAAAAATGTAAGTGGCGAAACAATAAAATTCCCGCGTTTTATCTGTGATTTCGATCGTCCCGGAACGGCTCGATAAACAATTGCATTTTCGGAGTATAATCACGAACTAACTCGAGCAGAACATTTTCGTCCGCATGTTGGGAGAGTACAAATTCTAGAAACCGCCCGGATACACGTTTCAAGGTTTAGCGATGATCATACGAGTGCGTGTCTCCTCCGCAGTCGGTTCTCGGAAGGCCTCCTTGGCCCCTTTGCCCCATTCGCATCGATGTCTCCGTCGGAAGAACACGGCCGTTAACCATTTCCCGAGGAAACTCCGTTGCAAACATAGCACACGCCATCTTTAATTCACTTGATTTATTCGTTCGTTTCGTTATCGATCGTATTTATCTTAATTCTACCAAGACAATAAAAGTTTAACACAAAATATTAGATACTAAGTGTTTTTGAAAACTCCAAACCTTTGGTGTGAAAGTATCGACTGAAATAAAAATCATTTCAAATTCATACAAACTTCGAACAACTGTTTGTAAAAATTTTAGTTCACACATTATATGTACAGCACACGCCTCCTTTAATTCGCTTAATATGTTCGTTTGCTTTGCTGTCGATTGCTAAATTCGGTATCCCAATTCTACTGAGCAATCAAATTTTAACACAAAAGTTGAACCTCAAACTCATAGAATTTCCTCATATACTATGAATTGAGTCTGGACTTTGCTGCAAATTAAAAATTCTCTGCCTTGCTCGAAAGATACAGAAAGACTGCGGATCTCTATGCAAAATAAAAATTTGCTAAGTCTATTGAAAGACAGAGAAATAAAATAAAAATTAACTTTTTTCTATAATCG